CTGCTACTGCTGCTACGGTGCTACTAGTTGTGACAAGAAACATCAGTGCCATGATGATTATAGGAACCTTGCACACAATCATAACTCGTTTCGAGAACTTCGACAGAACTTCGACAGCAATTGCCGACATGTGCTGGGCTTCCCAGCCGTTCTCCTGCGCACATCGACTCGCCTCAAGGAAGGTCACCTCCTCGGCAATGCAATAAATGACCATGAAAGCAATAGCAATAGTTGTAATAACAGTTGTAGTGATCGTAGCAATAATTAACAGAGCTGACAACGAAACTTATGCTCTGCAGGAGTGAGTTTCTATGGGTTTCTGGCTGAGAATTTAAGAGCCCACGGCAGAGGATTTACGTTTCAGGGGTTCGGGCGGCAGCACCACAGCTGCCGCATGGGGTTCTTAGCATATGTAGGGTCCTTTCATCGCGGGTGCTGCAAGCTACCGCCTAGCTTGTATATTTGTGTCCAATACTTTCTAATGGCAAGTACCTAATCACCTAATCCACGCTCTGATCCGAACTCACAACAAGTCCTCATCATCCCTCAACTCCAGGCTCCCAATACTTCCCTTCAACGAACCCTTTACGGTTTAGGGCTTAGGGTATGCAAACTACACTTACCTAGGGTTTGAAGTAACCAGTCAGTAAAAGTAGGCATAAACTTTCATATCATAGTGAACGATCAAAAAGTATGGTACTGCAAAACCCAAGGAACCCTTTGAAGGAGGGCTTCTGGGTACCCAAAAGATGTATGCTCGGATTCCGCTAAGGGTTTACGTTTTGGGGTTCCCTAAACCTGAAGGAATCACAACTACCCTTCAGGGTACCCTGAAAGATGTATGATAGGCTTCCGTTCAGGTACTACAACTACCCTTTCAACAACCCAGAGAGCCCAATACCCTTTAGTTCAGGAATACAGCTTAAATCATAATATGAGGCCCCTTTTTTCTTCAAGGTTTCTTGCTTAATTAAGGAGTTTGGGGCTCTCTGAACCTTTCAACACCGCGAACTTGGTCCCCAGCGCGCTTTTCCTTAAGGTCGACTTTGTTCCCTGGGTCGAGGCAAAAGCTGGCTTACTCCATACTTAGGGTTAGGGGTTCAGGGTTCAGGGTTTAGGGGTTTAGGGCTTTGGGTGTTTAGGGTTAAGGGTTAAGGGCTTTTGGCGTTTAGGGCTTTAGGGGTTTGGGGTTACCTAGAGCCAAAATATGGCCTCTTGATAATAATAATAGGGTTGTAGGGGACAGTGCACGAAAAATGTAATCAGGAACCCTGAGGATTAGCGTTGGTATTCTTCCGACTGCAACTAGAGCCTGGTTCACTGAAGCGCGAAGTCCTTAAATCCTTGCCGCCTAGCCCACTCAAAAATATTCCTTGAAACCTAGAACTCGACCAAACTAGAAAGTTGAAATCCTAAAGCCGGTTCTCTGGTTCGATGGCTTCAATTTCTTGTTGAAGCTCACGGAGGCTCAGGTTTCAGGATTTGGCCTGATATAGGGTTTAGGGCGCAGGGCTAACCCTCCTGCTCAACTTGCACTCTTGTAAACCCTAAATCCTAATCCCAACATCTTATACCCTAAACCCTAAACCCTTAATCCTAATCCCAACATCTTATACCCTAGACCCTAAACCCTTAATCCTAATCCCAACATCTTATACCCTAGACCCTAAACCCTTAATCCTAATCCCAACATCTTATACCCTAGACCCTAAACCCTTAATCCTAATCCCAACATCTTATACCCTAGACCCTAAACCCTTAATCCTAATCCCAACATCTTATACCCTAGACCCTAAACCCTTAATCCTAATCCCAACATCTTATACCCTAGACCCTAAACCCTTAATCCTAATCCCAACATCTTATACCCTAGACCCTAAACCCTTAATCCTAATCCCAACATCTTATACCCTAGACCCTAAACCCTTAATCCTAATCCCAACATCTTAAATCCTACAGGCGAAGCCCTCAGGTCCAGGGGAGCGAGTCCCTGCTCAACAGAGGAAATCACTGGTGGGCTAAAGGACTAAGAATCCCTGAATCTTGCAGCCGAAAGGGTTCCTTTACAGGGGTATTTACGGGTTACTACAAGGGATACTATAACGGCTCTTCTGTAGAGGGGCCTAAGGCTGGCTTTTGGGGGGGAAGAAACTGCATTCCGTCAAGCAGGGCTTCGGCTCCTCTTCCCGAAATGCCCAAAATCTGAATGCATGCCCTTAGAGCCCGCATCAGCGCAAGCGCGCGCCTACGGTAATGATGGAGATGTCTGCTCTGGCAAGAGTCCTGCGTTGGAGGGCATGTGCGGTGCAGTGGAGGGTGCAGTGGCTACTGCAGTGAAGTTGAGATATCACGTCTGGAATGCTGCGAGTGCAAACTGCAAAGAGTTGCGCCAAACAACAAATCGCCACCGACTTCAATCCCACCTCAAGCAGCGAAAGCTATAAACAGCAGCTAACGGCAGGAACGTTTTTTGTCTCCGTGCTTGGTGATTGGATTCTGCGGTTTAGTATCCTGAGTTACCTTTCTGGCGCAGCTTCGTTCCATTCTCAGTGGTGGTGACAGAGTCTGTACAGTATGCATGAGTCGCCAAGAAAATGCGGCATCAATGCGATGTACGACGAATAGGATCGAAGGCAGCAGGGCACACAGAAGATATATTAGTCCACACCCTGGTCGGAAGACTTGTTGCCCTGCTAAACCTGTGGAATGCGACCAACTGCTCTATGAGACAGTATGCCAAATTGACACCCGCACTCCTCCTTGTACATTAGTCCAAGTCCGGAAGGAATCGACAAAGATTTTACTGTAGTCTAGGGCATTGAGGGTTTATGGTTTAGGGGTTTCTCGCATTGCCACCCCCTGGTCCCCTTTCTCTGTAGCTTGCCGAGTCCTGGCATCTGCAAGCCAGTTCACCAGATGGTTGTAGGAGTCACCTGGGTGGTTGTTAATATTAGGGTCCCTTTGTGGGTCCTTATCATAATACGGCACCTAATATTTAGGGCACCCAAAAAGGGACCATAATTTTGACAACCACCCACCTTGCATTGGGGGCTTTGAGCCCTAAAGGATACATGCGGGGCCCTTCCGACTCACATGGAGAAGGCACCGCCGAAACAAGAACAGCAACTTCGAGGGTGCCCCTGTTCCACCAATATAACGGTCTGGACAATGTGTAGCATCATTATTCTCTGGGATTTCCTAGGCTAAGTTATGTAAGCTTCATCATGCAACGACAGAGCGCAAGAGACTGCTAAACATCATCTGGGAGAACCGGTGGCCACGTTCCCCAAACTCTTCTACAACCTCCTGCACCAGGGCTCTAGCATGCTGCAGGTCAGGCATTGTAAGCCATGCTAGACCCTAAGCCCACCAACTCTATCTGGTAGGATCCGGCACGACACGCAGGTAGGATCCGGCATGACAGAACGATGGCAACGACTGCAGATCTCTAGGCAGTGATTCGGTCTCAGGTCGGCGTGAGGCAACTCACGGGTGTTTTTTGGCTGCGTGTATCACAGCGGCACCAAGCATTTCTCAGTCATCAAGAAATGGCCGAACATTAGTTCACGATCAAAATCAAAACTGCTCAAGAAGCTCCACAGTCTTGAAGATGGAGCCGAACCCGTTCTGATTTCTGTTAATTTAGAACCCAGACTCTAGTCGCAGCGGAAGTAGCATCGAAGGTCTCTAGCAGATTTGCGCAATCAACGCCCCAGAACAGAAGCAATTCCATCAGGTTTCGGTTAGGGTTATATACTATAATACTACAAGGGAGTTTCTAAAAATCGGGGACCCTAATATAGTACCCGAAATAGTAGGATCCTTATTATAAAGACCGCAAACACAGGCACCCCTATTTTTCGGAAACCCCCGCATAGGTGCCTGACTTTAATAATTCGAAGAAGGTTTTAGGGTATATTGTCCGATAAATATCGTATAGAGACCCTACAAAGGAACTGTGGCTTCCATGCTAGGTCCTGGCTCTTAGGTTTTACGGATGAGTGGGTTCAGAATTCCAAAACCCAGGCCTTTCCAGTTGAAAGTTATCGCTTTTCCGGGCGAAGACCCTGTATAAGTTAGCCCCATGCGTGCCCGTTTTGGGCTATGGGCACCACTAGCCTCACACCATATCACAATCCCTATCCCAACCCTAGAATACCATCCTAGTAATACTCCAACATCCCTATCCAGGTGCCATAGCCTAAAACGGGCAAGGGGTTCCTTGTAGAATTTGGTTCAGGGTTTAGGGTTAAGGGTTTCCTCTCCCAGACGGCAGTTCCGTGAGCTACCACGACTTCCAGCAGTGCTTCAGCGAGATGCCGAAAGGAGACCCGGGTGTTAGGGTTAAGGGTTTAGGGCTTCGTCAGTGCGAGTTCTGCCAACATGCAATTCAGCCTATCGGCATTCAGTCGCTTGAGCTAACCTTGTTTATTCCAAGGTGCCATTTTGGCTTAACTTTTCATAGAAAGTAGATCCCGAGCAATGAGCGAGAAGAACCACGTCGTTGAGTTCATAGAAGACCCAGTGAAGCGCCAGATGGGATTTTCAGACCGAGTTGGCGACGAGCTACGCAGGGCAAATCAGAAACTGACGAGAAGAATGGCATCCAGATGGAAAGGGTGGATCAGAAACGGTAAGCGTCCCAATCAGACCAAGCCCATTATCTTTCCTACCGTGGAGACGCTTGAGTTCTATGAGTATATATCGCATAGACCAGATCCGAGGAAGTCTTTTAAATCGCAGTAAAGGGCGACTACTCAAAGCGAGTGTCGCCTGATCATAGTAATCTGCGAGTGCTAGACAAGTTAGGTGTCGCAGAGCCACACCGCACAGACCTTAGTGTGTGGCAGAAACTCGCACTCGGTGCAAAGAAACAGACATGTGTGTGTGTGGCGCCAGTTCGTTGGGTGCAAGACCGCAATAGAAGCGATCGTTTGTTTGTGTGTTGCTCAATGTAGTGTTTAGTCTCAGTTTTGTGCATACACTGCCCTCTTTGAGCGATGTCAGTCGTCCCTGAGAAGTCGGATGGCTACCCGCTTGGCACAGACGAGGGCGTGATGCCGAAGGTCACAGAGACTACCCGTAGAGATCCCAAGCCTCACTGGAGCCACGTGGTCAAGTCCGAGAACGCAGACTTGAAGGTTGAAAACCGTGAGCTCAAGCAGTTGGTGCTTCAGCTGAAGGGTCGTCTTCACAAACACAAGCGCCTAAGTCCCGGAGGTGATGATGGCGACGACAACGACGACGGAGATGATGACGGAGACGACGGCAGTCCCAACAGCAGTGACTTCAGTGAGCTGGACTACATCTTCATCACCGTTGAGTTCCCCTCCCCGCACTTCAATATCAAGCGCGAGGTCTACTTCGTTCACAAGCACTCCACCGTGTCTGACCTGAAGCTCAAGATCCTTGGTCATTGTGAGGTCTTCACGCAACACCCTGCTCACTTTGCGTTGTTCCGTGGCGATATGCCGTTGGACGATTTGGAGTTCGTCTACTTGGAGATGAAGGAGCGTGACGTGCTGAAGTTTGAGATGTTGACCCCCGAGTGGTACACCCCTACCAACGAGGACTTCATCACCGTCTACGTCAAGGTCTTCACCAACACCGAGAACGACATCCGCAAGGAGATTGAGATCAACAAGTTCTTTACGTGCAGGGACTTTGTCTATTACGTGGCGGGGCTCTTTGACCTGAAGAAGTTCTACCACGGCGACATCACCTTGAGCTGTGATGATACAGTGGGAGGGGGAGATATGATGTTCAATGATCGCGACATCCTTGACGTGATGGATGGCGGTTGGAAGCTTGACGAGTGGTGTGTGAAGGATGGACACACTTTGAACATCAAGTTTGGAGGACGTGGTGGCACTCGTGGCACAAAGCCGACGGTCAAGGACAGAGCCAACAAGCATAAGACGAACCTCGGCAACATCGCGCAGGGTATTGACCGGTCTACCTTGTCTGGTGTTGGTGGTATGGACGGGTTGGAGGATCGTCTCAACGCTTTCGTGGTGAGCGCGGAGGCGGACGCGGAACAGGCGATCCTTCAGCACTGCGTCGGCATGAGCCCCGATACCATCAACCGCATGTATGACATGGCTTTTGGCAAAGGTGGCACCAACGAGGGCAAGATTGACGACATCTCCTTTCACTTCTTCGGGCTGGGCAGTATGAAGGCTACGCGTGACAACATTAACAAGGTTCTAGACCTTGCAGGATCGGTATCAACCTTGCTGTTGCCAACCTCGGCGCTACCGGATTGGTGGGCTTCAAGAAAGTCATGGAGCGTGTGAAGTTCATCAAGATGGGTCAGGCATTGGGTGGCTCCACCGCTACTGGTTCAGCGCCTTCTGATGCGCACATGACCTAGCCAAGTCAGTCATTGGACCGAACGAAGTCAGTCAATGGACCGAACGAAGTCGGTCATTGGACCGAACGAAGTCAGTCATTGGACCGAAGCTTTTCAGTCATTGGACCGAACGAAGTCAGTCATTGGACCGAGGCTTTTCAGTCATTGGACCGAAGCATGTCAGTCATTAGACCGAAACACTTCAGTAGTTAGGTAGCTCAAGCTTCGGGACATGACACCTTTTGTTGCTTCCAAACGACGCTGAGACCAGTTTGAAAAACAACTCCGAATTGTCAAAGCTTACTACGGTTTAGGGGTGGTTTGGTTTTAGTGGTTAAGCCCCTGTGCGCAAGGAGAAACGACGAGAAGCACATCATCAATCCTCGGTGTCTACCATACCGCCGTGAACACGCTGATCCACCTCTACCTCTGCCAGTGCCTTGGTTAATATATAAAAAATACTTTCAAAAAATAGAACAATAAAAAACAAAAATACAAAAAAAAAATAAGCCCCAAGTTTTGAAACATAACGGTTTTAAAACGATAAAAACACAAATATCACAACAAAAACATTGGAAAAACCCATACACAAACAAGCAGAAAACAAAAAAACACCAAAAACAAGTTTGACACCTAGGGTGTAGTGAAATTTTAGGGTTTAGGATGCTTCAAAACGATAAAAACGCCAAAAACGCAACAAAAGCATTGGAAAAACCCATACACAAACAAGCAGAAAACAAAAAGAACACCAAAATCAAGTTTGACACCTAGGGTGTAGTGAATTTTTGGGGTTTAGGATGGTCACCAACAATAACATTATAATATTAATAATGTTATAATTGCTTTATGCCAACGAAAACACATTCTCTACATACTCCATAAATTCTTCGGTTGTGGTGTTATAATGATCCCTCCAACCGACCAACCAAAAATCAAAACATTCGCGTATTATTTCCTTTACTATAACTTCCTTACTAATTTCAAAGCCGTTAAATCTTATAGTAGCGGTTTTAATCTGATAATATGCGATTTCCTTTTTAACCTTTCCTATATCGGTTAAACGGCTAATGACACTATACAGTAGCATCACGTGACATACACCGTGAAACATAAGACGTTCGCGGTCTGAATGGTTTCTGATATTCATAAACTGCTTCATTATCTTTCGCAGTGGGTTATTTGATCTTTTGATGATGTTTTTGTATTTTCGCCTATCCATGATTGTATCAATGTTGCGATTACGATATAACAAGTGTATTATTACTTTTTGCACTTTGTTTAACTTTGAAAATTTGGGGTTTTCATCAAAATCTTCAATAACTTCAATCTTATCTCTACACTTATCGCACTTGTCATATTCGCACACACGATTACATATATCAATCGGTAACTTGCTAGTTAATACTCCTACTTTGTTCATTTCTTCGCACTTCCAACAATTTTCAAACTTGAACATTTCCCTGTTAATCTATATAGGTGTCATTTCTTTAGGTGTTTTTGTTAAGAAAAGTTTTATCAAAAGAAAAATTTAACTTTTAACAACTCAAAGCGTAAATAAGCCCTATCATTCCCTGATACATAATAATATTTTTGACCCAATTTTTCGTCAATTCTTTCTATGGTATAAACATTTTGCGACCAATTTGATACACGTTCTTTTTCATTGGGTTTCCTCTTCCTAAATATTTTAACCTCACCCCCGACACCTAGATCAGGATAGACCCGGTTTCGTTTAGCATTCATATTTAAATGCAGTTTAACTTTTAATTCGTTGCTCGGTTTTCTCGCATCCTTTGGGGTGAAGCCAGTTGCGGAATGTTTCATTTTATTGTTATATGTTAATAATATCTCAAAAATATAATCTGTCCATTGAATATTATCTTTACCCTTTTTCTCATCGGCCTCAACCCTTTTATATAATAAATCTTTGAACGTCCTAATAGCTCGTTCGCTGAAATTTGGATGCGCCCTAGTCCTGTGATGTTCTATGTTCTGTTCCTGTAAATACTTTTGTATTGCCTCCTTGTTCATTGCTCCCTCGTCGTCGGTATAAATTATTTTTGGCTTCTTCCCCATTTTATGTAAGCATTCAATCATCCCACTCGCTAAATCTTCTTCCTTCTTACCTTTAATTGCCACGACATGCATAAACTTATCAAATATATCAATCATTAACATTCCTACTCTAAATTTTTGATCTTCCAAATCATTTATAAAAAATAAGTCCATCTGATACTCGTATGCTGAATGGGGGGCGACAAAGCTATTTGAACCGACGGGCTTTCGCTTTTGATCAACATTCTTCCTGAAAAACTCGTTAATATCAGACATTGTGATGGTTTTGTCTTTCTCCCGTGCTGCTTCTAAAGTCCGGCTTTTTGAACCAAACCCCGCGCGATCAAAATACACATCATTAATAATTTTTTGCTTCTCACTCATATAAAAACAAAAGAAAATAATGATTTAATAATTAAATTAAATCATCATTCGGACATCGGCATTATGATCTTGCAGTTCTTCATGTCATATTTTGCCGAACCGTGCTTGGGCTTCATCGGCTTCTTTGCATTCAATATTTCTGATAGCAATTCATCATTAATCTCCTCGGGCTTCAGTGTGATATTGTTGGCTTGTTCATACTCCTTGATCTTCTTTTTCTGGTTGTGTCTTTGTGCAGATTCGCGTTTCTTTTGCATGTATGCCTCGTCCTTGTTGCGCTTGTGATAATACAGTCTGTTGTATATGGCGAGTTGCTCTTTGATTTCTTCTATTGTCATATCCTCGGGCTTCTTGCTCATATTACTATACTATATATATTATTTTTTCTTTAGATGCATTTTCTTTAAAAGAAATCTTCAGAAAAATCCATTTAAAGGGAAAATAAATATATAGTTTAATTATATTAGTATATGTCCAAAGCCGTTAAGCGTAACACGGAAGCACTACAAACATTTTATAACAACAAGCGAAACCGCATCACCCAAGCCACCAGAACAAAAGTTCAAAGTATAATTAACTTATATTCAGATCGTAAGATCGCCCAATTCACCACAGCAGACAATTTAATTAGGAAACTCACCACCGCAAAAACAGACAAAGAAAAAACTAAAGCGGAAAAAGAATACAACAAGATTTATGACAAACACAAGGATAAAGAACAACTAGGTCAGAGAATGGCACAAGCAAAAGAAGACAACAAACGAACGGGAAGAACCAACCCAAGAAAACCAAGAAAATATTCAATCAATGTCCATTTATACCAACTGAAGACAGAATCGCACCAAGGATTATCAGTATCTTTCAGAGACGGCAGGGGTAGGGCATACGTTCCTATTTGTATGCGTGATCTATCAGCCAATGTAGCCACAACACCGTGGGTAGAAAACTTGACGAGGAGACGAATATTTAGAGACGAGAAGCCCGACACAAAAACATTTCATAGGCTCAAGATGTTATTAATGACAGATGACAGTTTTAAAGCCGATGTCGGTTATGCTGAAGGTTACATTGCTTGTATTAAAGTTAATTACGCCGAAAGGGTAGATAATGCCGATGCGTTCAAGCCACAAGACGAAGATCTAACAAACACAGTGAATGTCAGTATGTATCACAGATATATTCAGACACCCTTAGATCCACAGTATGAGACCTTCAAGGAAGCCATTAAAGTAGATCATTATGTTAAGAACGAGTGTTGGTTTAACACCTTGACCGATTATTATAAAGATACTCTTATGGGAGATCACAAGAGAGAGAAGAACAAACTAACAAAAGAAGCCATCCTAAAGATCATAAATAAGACGGAAGAAGATTTTAAAACAAACGGGGCGTCTATAACAGATATGGCTAAGGTGTTTGAACATTTTAACTTGCAAGTGAGAATATATGATGCGTTTGAGAATCTCATTTATAAACGCGACCCAATAAAGAGAAACCATCACATCCCAGCCTTATACGCTATAGTGAAGAACAGTCACATCTACACAGTCAGTGATAATATGAATATGTTGAGGCAGATGATACCCAAAAGCAGTAATTATAGTATATCTGTTAAGGCATCTTCAGATTATCACCTTAACGAGAAGGAAGAACCAGTGGAATGTAAAATGATCACATCCCTAGATGACATTCGTAAATACACAGAGCATAGCGAATATACATTGGTATATAATGGCTACGATCTGTCTCATCTCTTTTATCTTAGCAAACAAGCCGGATATGAGCCACAGGTTAGATTTAGTGCAGGGTTCGTATCTGAACTTAACTTCAAGTTTAAGATCAAGATAAACAATAAGAGCCACAAAGAGATTAAATACAAGGTTAAGACCCAGAACTTAGTGAACAATTCTATAGATGGTTCCATCTGCGTGAGAACGGAACAGATCTACAATAAGATGTCTAAAGCAATGTTTAACTTTAATACCGCCCTCTTCAAGCCGACACACAAGTCATATTACAACGAAGTAGATGTAGAGATTTTCAAGGAGTGTCGCACTATCCCCCCAACGGGTGAAATAAATAAACATTATTATTTATATAACCCTAAGACAGACAAAGACGACAAATACTTTTATACCTCAGAAGTGACTACGGAGATAGATGTAAGAAAAGCTTACACATCTGCGTTTAACAAGATCGCCGAGATACCGGTATTCACTCAGTTTGATATCTGGAAGCCCTTCAATGGCAACGTAGCAGATTTTCACGATCTCACTCTCTACTTGGTCAAGCCCACCAAGCGGAGTTTATTTTTCAATAAAGCCTACACTTTAGTATATGGTATGTTTTTAAAGCACTTCGTGAAGCAGTGTAAGATTCTTTATTATAAGCAACCATCCAGAGTATACAAGGTGGATTATAGGAAGATCACAGCGGATTTATGGAAGACAGACATCTCTGACAAACCAGCCGAAGACATCAGAATCAAAAAACTAATAGCTAATGTTAACTTCGGGCTACTTGAGAAGAACACGAATAAAGCCCATAAAAGTTATGCCTTTGATACTTTAAAGGAAGCCTTATATTATCAGAACAAGATCGGAGGAAAGATTAACATAATTTCGGGTATGTATGTTGACGAGATTGAGTTACCTAACGGGGAGACAGACTTAGTTGAAAAGGAGATGGACAGAAAATATTATTGTTTAACAGTGACCGATAAAGCCACCTTACGAAACGGATATATATACATCAAAGAATTATTATTACAACACCATAACTTTAAAATGCACACCGACTACACCAAGCTAACAGAAAATCATATAGGAGTATGGAGTGTTAAAACAGATGCCTTCGTCATTAGGAAGGAGCATTTAAGACGAGCTAAGAACCTAATAGAGTTCAATGAACGCATCGGCGGGTGGAGACACGAGAAGAGTAAAAACATAGCGGAACCCACAGAGCAGTGGGCACCAAAAAAGAACGAACTGATACCAATTCCCGTAGTTA